ATTATATGTTCTGATAGAACAGTAGTCCACCCATGAGTTACATACATTTCAATTTACTATATTTAAATAAAACATGCTTTCATGGTAATTTGTACTTAATGGTACTAACATATTTATGGACTGAATTCACTCCTATTAAGCTTTTAAATTAGCACATATATGTTTTAATGAAAGAAAATTACATGACAACTAATACCCCACACCTCTTCTTGAGAGCTCAAGGCAAAGAGAACAGTCCTGGCTGGAGAAATGTAGTTTAAATTTGAGAATTTTTGTGTGTATTTGTGTGCGTGTGTGTGTAAGGTGTCTGCGTGTCTTTAAGGAGATAGAAATTGAGAGAATGAATTTTCATCCATTGGAGTAGATCAGATCACCCACAGAACAAGTGTATATTAAATAACAGAAAGCCAGGGACAGTTTTGGAGTTTTCCAACATGTTCATGTGTCTGTTCAAGGAGGAAGAGCCAGCAAAGGACATGGAGAAGTGCTAGTGAATGTGAAATAAAAGGGCACTGGTCTAAAGAACCAAGAGCTCAAGTGCTTCAAGATCACAGCTAACTGTGCCAGTTACCACTGAGAAAGGGGTCAAGCAAAATGAAAACGGAGCCTTAGACTTAGCAAGATGTTATCTGGCAACCTCCATGAGATCTGTTTGACTAGATGATAGAAAGAAAGCCTGATTTGAATGAATTATGCAATAAATGGGAAGCAAGGAAAGTGAAGATGAATAGAATTTTTTCAAGGACTCTTGTTATAAAGAGAAATGGGGTAGAGGCTGGGGAAAGGTGTGAGGCTAAAAGGTATTACTTTTAAATGGATAATACTGACATATAGCCATATCTAAGGAGAATGATTCTCATATCATTCTTCACTTGATTGTAGTGTCCACTTTAAACTTCTTAAAATATTTTCATCCTTAATTTCTATGATTCAACACTTAGCTTGCTTCTGCTGGCTCACTTTTCTCTGTTGCTACTGTTAGCCTCCTCTACTAGAGTTGGCTACCATATATAATTATGCAGACAGTTTATACCAAGTACCATGTGAATGTTATCCTCAGAGTGAGACCATACCCACTCACCACAGTGCTGTATGTGGACCTTGATTACCAGCCTCAGAATAAAATTTTTATATTTGAAGTCCATAGAAACTTTGCATGTTGGTGTTGTGGCTTAAAGGTAAGTTGTAGAAGTATGGTTAATCAAAACAGTGGTAGTTTTAGGGTTTATATCTAGATGTCCCCATAAAGCCTCATGCACTCATAAGTGGAGATTTTGGAAGGTGACTGGATCATGGGTGTGTGGCACTCATCACTGGATTCATCCACTGATGGGTTTACAGGTAAATGTGATGTTGGGAGCTGAACCCTGGTGGGAAAAGGTGAGTCACTGTGGGCATGGCCTGCTCTGATTCTTGCCTGCCATAACCATGAGCTCTTTGTCCTGTGCCCTTCTGCCATGCTGCCCTGCCTTGGCACCACCCAACTATGGACTGAAGCCTGTACAAACTGTGAGACAAAGTAAACCAAGGTGTAGGTTTTCGTATTGTGGCCCAGTGACAGGAAAATAATTAAGACAAGTAGTATGCTTGCAAAGGCAAAATTGATCTTGAGATTCAGTAGAAAATTTTCGATTTCTGAACAGTTTCTACCTCCAACTAAAACATTATTAAAACAAAAAAGAAAGGTGTTTCTTTCCTCATTTAGTGTCTTTTGTCAAACCAGTAAACTTAACTATAATAAATTTCACATTAAGAAAGAGTTCCAAGTTGAAGAGAAAGCACTGAAAATCACTAACCCAACCTACCTGTTCAAAACACATAAAGCAATGGTTAAAAGCTACATGTAAGCCAAGTATAGTGGCACACAACTGTAATGCCAGCACTTTGGGAGGCTGAAGCAGGAGGATCACAGATTTGAGCCTAGCCTTGCCAACTTAGTAACTTAGTGCTTTGTTACTTTTCTCATTGCTGAGACAAAATACCCAACACCCAAAATTAAAGGAGGAAAGGTTTATTTAGCTCACAGTTTGCAGAGGTTTCAGTCCATAATCAGCTGGTTCTAAGGCACGGTGGCCTGGCAGAGAGGCATCACAGAAGAGAAACAGTTCATTCTGGGCAGAAGGTAGCAAAACAAGCAAGGAGGATGGCCACAGCTCTTTCTATCTCTTATATCTCATCCCTTAATCCTAATGTCCTTGAGCCTAGCATTGCACCATGAATCAATCCTAGAGTCACACACTCTAAATCCAGCCACCTCTGAAAAAGCCCCACCTATGATTGCATGAGGCTTTGGGGGAACATGTAGACACAGCCGTAACACTTAGCAAGACCTTGCCTCGAAAGAAAAAAGTAAAAAAGGGCTGAGGATATACCTCAGTGCTCAATACTGTGTTCAATGCCCAGTATCCAGAAAATTTTAAAAAGCTTCATGTATTCATTGTTAAAGGAAGACTTTCTAATTAAATTAACTACAACCTGGCTAAATGCAATATTCAAAATAGAATTCTCTTTATTTTATTTTGAATGTTATATAATTCAATTTATTTACTTATTTATTTCAGCTGTGCTGGAGATCAAAATCAGGGCTTTGTTTATGCTGGATAATTGCACCATCTCTCTTTATTTTTAATACCCCAAGATTGGAAGCAACTCAAATGTCTATCACGTGAATGTGTAGTGTATAGTACGTCTTTCAGTGGAATGTTCCTTAGCATTAGCAGTAAGCTATTGAAAGACATTGCAAGATGGATGAATCTCAAAATAATTACAAGTGAAGAAACCAGACCCTCCAAAAAAAACTTACACTATATGATTTTATTTATTTAAAATTCTCAAAAATACAAACCATAGTGACACAAAACAGATCCATGGTTGCCTGTAGGAGGAGGGGAAGGGCAGAAGGAAGGGATTACCAAGAGGCATAAGAAAACTTTTAGAGGATAGAGATGTTCATTATCTTGATTGTGATCATGATCTCACTGGAGTAAACATACGTTAAAATTTAGCAAATTGTACGCTCTAAGTATATGCACATTTATGCCAATTATAACTTAGTGAAGCTACAGAAAAATAAAGGAAAAAGAAAGCTTGGTTTCCGTATGTCTGAAAATGTTTTATGTAACCTTTGATCTCATATTAGAAAGTGAAAGCAATGCAAGGGGAAACATTTTGCAGGACAGCCATGAAAATGTCACTAGACTCTTACAGAATTCATAAAACTAAATGCCATACATTATGGTTGCGTTTATAAATCTATCTATAAAGGAAAAACATATATTTTGTGCTTACAAAACAGACTTAATTTATTTCATCTCTGTGCATCTTGAACTAACTTGGGTTCAGAAGTTCATTACTTCCACATATGTAACAAAAATTCATCTTTGATAACATTTATGAATAATGCCCTTGAGCTGCTTGTGGCTGTGTCAACTGGTTTCTCTCTCATTAAAGTTCATCCTGCATTCCTTGAAGTCTGTAAACATGGTCCTACAACATTACCTTTGTCTCACAAACATTTATTAAGGGGTGGTAAAGCAAAGACAAATGTAAAAGAACGTACAACAGCAGCATCTGTCTATACCTAGTTATTTTCCTTATCTCACACACCTAATATACCTATGTACCCTTTGGAGACATCATAAATTCTTCCTGACTGACTCTGAGGAACTTAATTACTGACACATTTTACTTAACCAAAACAACAGGAGAACCAACTTGTTATAGTACTTGGAGATCACTGGATAGAGACACTATGTGTGATCTACCATCCCAGGGATTTAAACTGCTCTTGAGCAAACAGACTTTGTAAATTAAGACCTGGAAGGCACCCAGGGAGTGGCTGAAGTCTGCATTTATTGCTGAACTTTGGCATTACACTCTCCGCTGACTGGTAGTGATCTGGGGCTAGTTAACTGGGTGGAGATGAACATGTCTCAGTAGAATAATTTAGTATTATTAGCATGACATTTGATACTGATACCATAGCAATCAGGATTACTGCTTCCTGACTCAGAAATTATAAATTTTAAAAGAAGTGTTAAAACATATTATTCTAAGAATTGAGTTAAAAACTGAAATATAAAAATGACTCCAGTTAAACTTGACAAATGTAACAAATGAACTTGATAGTAACAGTTACACAGTACAATAAGTTTTTCTTCTTGTTTTGTTTCTTATTGGAGAGTTGGGCTAGATAGATGGGGAGTTAGGGAAGAAAAGATGCTGTATATAGTACAATACTGAGTTTTTTTCTCCAGGCCTGAATTTAACCAGTTACTGTCATATATATATGGAAAATTAAAAGTTTAAAAATTCTATAATTGGTTAAATTGTGTTGTTGAATATATAACAGTGAAAGGAAATAAAATAGGTTCATAATTTTTTATTTCTGCCTTCTTTCCCTAAGACATAGAGCAAGAAGGCCTATGTATCTACTACAAAACTAAATCAAAAAAGTTAATTTTTATTTTTCTTAAACTGTAAGAGACATCATACCAGACAGACGGTGACAGGGAATGACAAACTAATTTAGAGCAAAGACTAATAATTGTCAAGTCCCTCTTCAATGATTCAAATTCCTTCAACCATTTGGAAACCTTTAAACATGTGAGATATATACTTTTTAAAATCCTGACTTAAAAATGAAAATTAGATGGTAATTTACTGACTTTAAAGGTGATTCTCCTTGTGTTTTACATAACATTTGTTTCCCTTGACCTTCCAGAATGCTAGGGAAGCTGAAAAATTTGCGTATAACTCATGAGTGTACCTCAATAGAATTTACATACCATAAATTCTGGGCCACATACGTCATGGTGCAAAAGCTAGGCTAAGCCTATTGAGTTTTACAAAGTTGTCCGATTTTATTTTTGTGTATTTTCCAGGTTAATCTTATACTGAAATGACCATAAAATATTGGTTTGCTTAGTCATTACTGAGCATAGGCTACTTATTTTTTAAAACCAAACTGTTTACATTTTTTGCTTGTTTGTTTGTTTCAGGACTGATGCCTGTGGCACAACAGCCTGTTTACTGTGCCTCAAAGCACGGCATAATCGGATTCACACGCTCAACAGCGGTGAGGACATAGTAACCACAAAATCCTTGTTCCTTGTATGCATTTATGAAACAAAAATTGTACTAGAGGAGAATGAATTCAGAATTAGATACATCTAAATTAAAGACAGTAACAATACTTTACTTCAATCTGTATAATAAAAGTAGTTTTTGATCACATAAAACCATAAAAAATACATCATTGAAAAATGAAGTAGATTATAAACATAGATGTGTTATTTTAAATATCTTAAGGACAAATAATGAGGAAGTTGACTCCAAATTTAAGTATTATTAACATGCGGCTTCCATAAGTAAAACATCCAATAAGCTGTATTTGAAAATGAGTGCAGGCATGGAGCTAGAAGGAGGAATGAAACCAAGTAGTTACTTGGTAGAGTGCTCAAGAACCACGTTCCCATGGAACTGGGGATGGAAGGTACACAGAGCTTAGAAAAATACTCAGACCGAGCTTGATGATAGTATTAGCTAAGAGTACTTGGCTCTTTATCTGACAAAAGGACATCTTGAGTGGAGCCAGCAAGGAACCACAAAGTTGAGTGAGACCTAACTAGAGATGTAAGCAGGACAGGGAATTATGAGCCAGGGCTGTGACCTTGGATTTTATTCTAAGTGCAGCTGTTGATGAGTCTTTTGTGCACCAAAGTAAAATAGCAGGTTTCCATTTTAAGAAAACCAATCCAGCCAGGCACGGTGGAGTACTTCTGTAGTCCCAGCACTCTGGGAGGCTGAAGCAAGAAGATGGAAAATTTGAGCCCACCCTGAATAACTGAGTGACTGTCTCAAAATATAAATTTTTTTAAAAACTAAGGATACAGCTCAGTGCAAAGGGCCTGGGTTCATTCCCCAGTGCCTCAGAAAAGAAAAGAGAGAAGAAAAGAAAAAAAAAGAGTACCACTCTGCCCACATTGAAAATGTATTATAAAGGACAAATGTAGAGGAAGAAAGAGCAGACATGGGGTTTCTGGGTGGTTCATCTACGTGAGACAAGAAAGGAGCCAAAGAGATGAAGAGAAAAACTTAACTATGGGGAAATTCTAGGGGACAGAATAAAACAACTGTGCGAATATTAATAGCTCAATCAAAAAGGAAGAGAAGTATTTCTCGCACTCTTATATTAAAAATTATTATTTAATTCACAAGACAATCGTTTTTTTATTACTACATGTTAGCAGTAGATATTAATTACATGTATCATGGGAAATTTGTACATGTGCATAACACATCTTAATTCTTATTTTTTTTGTCTTCCTCTTCCATCTCTCCCTGCTCCATCCAACTCTTTTTCCCTTTTCCATTTGCAAAACCCTTGCTTCCATTTTAAAACTTTTTGTTTAAATCCCTTTTTGCTTCCTTCCCTCTCTCTTCCCTCCATCTCTTATGCTCCTTCCCATTTGAAAAAGATGTCTACTTCTTGTTATCTTTTATTTTACTCTTTAGTTATATTTTGAGTTTATCATATAAGAGAACTACTTGATAATTTAAATTTGTGTGTCTGATTTATTTCACTTAAAATTATAATCTCAAGGTACATCCATTTACTTACAAAAGTCTCAAGTTTATCGTTCTTTATGCCAGAGTACTATTCCATTGTATATAAATACCACATTTCCTTTATCCATTCATCTGTTGATGGGTATATAAGTAATTACAACATTTAACTATTATAAATTATGCTGCTATAAACATGGGAATACATTATCACTCATTGTTATTACCATAACAATCTTTAACTCAATTTGTTATAAGCATATAAAGCTATTACAAAGTAAAATAAATTTTAAAGATCAGATATTTTGCATTTAAAATTACAAGACTGGCAATGTCTACAGCCAAATCTCATTGTTGGAAATAGTTATGTTCTATGAACTTACTTGCAAACAGTGAATTAGTGACTGCTAAACCATTCCTTCTGGAAAATATAGGTAAAGTTCTCAAAAACCTGTAGTCACAAAATTTTGATCAACTACTCAGTACATAAGCTTGCTATATA